ATGTGGCTCAGGGGGACCTTGAATTTCTGATTAACGGAGTGTGCCACTATGCTTTGCTTATGGGGTGCTGGGAATCAAATATAGGGCTTTGAACATGCTAGGCAGGCACTGTACCAACTAAGTTACACCCTCAATCTTTAAATATTATTAAATGGACATATTAGAAGGATGAACCATTTTACTTACAAGAAAGCAAGAGAATAAAGACACTGGACAAGAAAGTGTTGGGTTGCTCAGGGAGAGTTACACAGTTCACTGCTGAGATCCTAACACACACACAGTGAACAGCAGAAAAAAGAAGGGAGAGATATATCAGATGGTGTCGCGGAGTGTCTGAATGCTAAAATCTGATCTGGCTTTCCTTGAGCAGGCAGTGTGAAGACAATAACATTTAAACCATGCATGTGATGGATTTGAACTGTAACAAAGACAATTCTAACAGCCTCAAGAGAGTGGTTTGGAAAGGAAGAATGAAAAGTGCTTGTTTTTACACAGACCTTCATGGGAAAATTGCAAAGAATGAATAGTCTCCTTCTGCATCTTTGATTACTATGATTAACTGAAGAGAGACTAGTGAGTTCTCTGTAGTCAGTTGCAGAAAAGGTATGTAAATATGTTATTTCCCTAGAATTACCTTGGCACTTTTCTAAATTAATCTGTACTTGTGGAGAAATAAGAAAATGCCACACTGAGTCCATCTCACGGGTATCACAAAATAGTGTGTATAAAATCCCATTCACCTGAGTAGAGCCCCTAGGAATTCAAAATGAAGCCCCAATGAGCCTGTCCTAATTCCACTACCTAAAACAAGGCCCTTTGATATTGAGTGTCAGAAAAACAAATGATCACCATTGTAAGGAAGTCAACTGTAATTTTCAAGGTCCCCAGAGGCAATTCAGATGAGGTATTGAGCTACAAGAGTTCAAGTTGCTGTGAGAAGGGAAAGGGAACATTCTGGTGAGAACATGGGCTTGTGTTTGGAATGTGGGCTCTAATGAGAAGCAGCTTGGGTTTAGATCTGAACTCCTTCAGTTTCTGCCTGTGAGGCCTTGAGTAAATTATTGAACCTCTCTAAGGGTGGCAGTAATATCTAGGTTATAAGAGGATTAAAAGAATAAATGAAATAATATGATCACCTAAACAGTGGTCAAGAATATTAATTGTATTTTGCTGCAAAGATCATTCAGATTGCTAGGTATAGGGTAGACTGAAGAGGGACAGAGATGTAGAAGATGGAACAGAGCTATTTCATTGTTCATTAAAGAGAACACAGGAGCTTGAACATGGGAAAAGGAGATGGATTTGAGATACATTTTCTAAGAAAGCTGGATACACTTTGCTTGATAGAACAAAGAGTGACTGCCACCTTTCTGGGGCTAGAATAGAATGGAGAGCTGCATAACACAATAAGTCCCTGGCATTCTTTGTCTTCATATTATATATAGCTATATTATATATACTCTACATATGTATATTATATATAGATATAATAAACAACAACACAACTCTCTTTGTTTTGTTTTTAACACGTGAAATGGTTTTGTTAGTCAAAACAGCATAAACTTTGATTTAATATAAGCATATCAATTTTAAACAATATTTTACATTAGAAATTTCCATTTAACAGAAAAACCCACATGCATTCCCAGCAAAAGCCAAACTGAAGCTCACACTGCCTTTGAAGTGTCCTTCTTGTCTTAGTGACAACATCTTAGGCTGACATCATCTGATAAATCAGAAAGTTCTCACATATAAACTTCAGGGCTGGCAAGAAGCCAGCTCACTTATAACTTTGAACGTACAAATTTAGGAGAACTTAAGATTGCACCCTCCAAGAAAGATAAATCCTTGAACTCAGCTTTTAAACTGAAATTGATGGCTATTTGTGTTTCTGAAAACAGCAAAATGCTTTCTACAGTCACATTCTAACTGGCTGCCAGTTGGGAAATACAGATGTTGAAAGCACAAGGTCCCTTCCCCAGTGGCAGTGATCCAGGGCTCAAAAACAGATTGTGTGCCCAAAGACTGAAAGAAAGAGAAGTAATTGATTCAAAAAGGAGTAGAGAGACAATTGATGATCTCAGAGTGTACAAGACAGAGGCAGCAAGGAACGAGAAAGCAGACTATGGCGGTCCATAAAAGCAGCAGAGAGCGGCAACACACACACAAGAGGAAATATGTTTAGAGTGGAAAGTGCAGCTTACAACACACGCTATTATGTAAGACTTCAGAGAGTCATTAGGCATTTGATCAAAATGCAGAGTTTACAGAAAAGATAAGGAACACTTTTTGAGAAAGAAAAGGGGAAAGGAGGAAAGGAACTAAGAAACGAGGCAAGATGTGGAGAGCACTGGTTTTAGTCTGGACAGAAGAGGAGCATGCAAAGGGACAAAAGAAAGGGTGACTTGAGAGATGGGGAGGGAGACAAGACAATATGATAAGATATAATCCCAAGGGGAGAGTGGGTGATGAGCAGAGGTCAGCTGCTACTGAGAGACCAATTATGGTCATGACAGAGACCCATCTCCTGTAAATCAGACTTGAGTGAAAGGGCTGCCAATGACATTGTGATGGATTGGAGTAGATATGAACAGAGCACTGGAAAGCCCTGAACGAGCCATTCTCAGAAACCGCATGAGAAGGCATACGGATGGAGCAGTGCTGCTGGGGACATGGACAAAAGAGGAATAGCACGAAGGATGAAAAGCAATGACAGGATCCTGATGGCAATAACTCCGGAGGGATGGTAAAATAGATAAAAAGGAGACATCCAAAAGTCAAAGGTCCCTGAAAAGCTTTAGAGGGCAGAATGCAAAGTACAGGTAAGGGCTGGCTTGGATGCTACAAGAGTCAGTTACTGCAACGGGAAAGGAGAGTAGTTGGGAGCAGGAATGGGTGTGGGGGGCGGTAGGTGAGATGATGAGAGTTCTCTTCTGAAGACCTTTTTTGCTTAGTGACAAAGCAAGATCAGAAAACTGAAGGGGAGAATAAAATCAGAAGGAGAGGAGACTCAGAGTTTGAAGTGGGTGAGGATGCACCAAGATTACCAGTGAATGTTCACATAATTGGTGTTTCTATGTGGATTTCTATGTGACCATTGATACAACTACATTTTCATTCTACCTGACCACCTGATTTCCTCTGGTAAGGTCAATTACTCAGGGACAAATGTGCACAGGGTAGATAATTGAGTTCATCCAAGATTGGGATGTATAACATGGAAGGAAAGAGCCAGGACAATAGTAATGTTTTCCCAAAACTTATAATGACAGACTGTGTGATTTAACTTGTACCAAAACCAGAGGAGAGATAGAAAATGACATAAAACCAGGGGGGGGGGAAGATGGAATCAATTAATTATGCTACAATAAAGTATTTTTCCAATGAGGGTAGCTGAGCTAGGAAAAGGAAAATATAAAATGTTATGGCTAAATAGTTCCCTTAAGATTTCAAACCCTGCTTTCATTTGTGATGGTGAAAGGCTTGGCCATTACCAGATAAGTCATTGCCATGAGAGTATGTCAACCGTGAGAGTATTCCAACAGCTGTGGGAAAGTGGAGATCACAAGTTGACCAGACTGAAATAGTGACACTCTGAGAAGGTTCAACCTAGGAGGTGTAGAAATGGGGATAATAACAGCAACCTGCTTGGATAGAGTGAGCTGAAAACTATGCAGCTGACAAGAAGCATGAGACAGAAGTCCAGAGAGTAAGAAGAGGATTGCATACTCAGAGTGTGGACCTCACCAATGACAGAGACTCTGAAAGCACAGGAAACAATGGTCCTAAGTTGAAAATGGAAAACAAAGAGATTTTTAACACTCTAGGATTTGAAATCCATGGTGGGGTGGGGCACATGACTTTCTCCTGGACCAAGCTGAAGAAAGAGTAGGTTCCACATGGAACATTTAGCTTTCTCAAGACAAGAAGGATATGTTAAATACCCACACTATAGAAGGCAACTTTATACAATGATTATTCTGGGCTTCTGCCAAATTGGCTGTGATGTAGTTACTAAATGTATAGAGGCCAGGTCTTCATTATTATAGTATTAATGATTTTAAAAAGGTACAGGTGGTTTGGTGCATGCCTTTAATCCCAGCATTTGAGAGGCAGACCCAGGCAGATCTCTGTGAGTTTGAGGCCAGACTGGTCTACAGAGAAAGATCCAGGACAGCCAGAACTACACAGAGAAAGCCTGTCTTGAAAAAGTAAATAATAAGAATAAACAAACAAACAAATAAATAAATAAATAATTTTTTAAGTACCAAATACTCCATGGAAAATGAACAAAGCCAAAAGTTACATAGAAAAAGGATTAGGTGATTCATGTGGATAAAAAGGATTAAATTTCTTTATACATAAAATGTTTAACAGCTTCACAGCCTTTTTGGCTACAATCAAGTGGAAAAGGTTCATATAAATCAACAGGGGAAATGGCAAACCTAAACAGAAAAATGAGTATAAATGAAAACCACATTTCACGGGAGAAGAAGTTGAATTGGCTTTTAGCTGTATGAAAACACACTCCAACAAGAACAGGTCAAAGCAGGGAGACACTATTTCACCTCCACATGTGCCACTACATTGTGCTTACACACATGTGTACATAATGTCACCAGGCTGGCACAGACTGACCAGTGCAGATGCATTTTGCTGGTAATGGCACAGCGAGGGGTGTATATAGTATGGCAATATATCATTATACAAAAATAATACATTCCTATATAGTTATAACATTATGATAGAGTAATTTCCTCATAAGAATTTTTCCTTTAATCATGTGCATGAGCCATGCTCACAAAGATACTATAAATACAAAAAATATTCAATGAAACATTCTTGTAGAAGCAAATCTAGAAAAACACTCTGAGATTCAGTGGTGTTGGTCAGGGTTAAAGAATGGCCCAGCCACAGATGCACAGAAGGCAAGCGAGATCTGTGACAGAACAAAGGCTTTCCATGAGTGTTCTCACAGAGAACATACATGAGGGGGCAAAGAGGATCTTAGCAACAACCGGTATTTCTAGTCATGTATATATGTAAATAATTTATAAATCACCACACCAAATGACTCAAAGGCAATCTTAAGAAATGGGAGAATCTGTGGAGCCTTCATGGGACTGGACTAGGCCCTCTGCACAAGTGAGACAGTTGTGTAGCTTGATCTGTTTACGGTGCCGCCAGCAGTAGGATCAGGATCTATCCCCGGTGCATGAGAGGGCTTTTTGGAACCCATTACCTATGGTGAGGCACCTTATTCAGCCTTGATGCAGGGGGAGGGGCTTCGACCTGTCTCAACTGGCTTTGCTGACTCCCCATGGGAGGGCTTACCTTTTTGGAGGAGGGGATGGGATATAGGATGAGGGGAGAGGCTTGGAGGGGAAGCAGGAGGAAGGATGAGAGGAGGATCTGTGGTTGGCATGTAAAATAAATAAAAAATAACTTAAAAAAAAGAAAATGGGAAAAGGTCTAAGGAGAATTACTGGGGTTGGGGATAGGCAAGAGGCAGATGTTATTTCAGCCAGTAATTACTCAAAAAAAATTGAGTTTTTATGGTGTGCTACACATTTTTTACAGTGTGCTCTAATTTCTTTTTCTCAATATAAAGCCATTGGTATTTTTGTTGTTGTGGATGGATTTTCACATAGGAACTCGCTAAGTTGCCAGACTTGCTCAAACTTATAACCATCCAAACTCAGTTTCCTGAGTATCTGGAGAATTCTCCACAGTTTCCAGAGTTTTACCAAACTCCTAGAAATCACTTCCTATTGGATGAAGTATAAAAATGTCTTCAACCACTGTACCACTCTGACCGTGGCCTTGCTAGATTACAGCAACAACTAAGAAGAAGTATGCCCAGATCAGTCATCTTTCTCCCTCTACTCAGAAATCACCTTCCAAAGTGCCACCCACCCCACTGTTATTCAACTCCATCATCTTCCATTCTACTTGGCACTCACATCCATTAGCAACTGTTAACTAACCGTCCCCTTCAATTTCCTTATGTCTTCAATATCCTTCCTTAGGCAGGGATTTCTTCAGAATACTGTCGAGGCCACACTGTCCTCTCTTAGCAGAATGCTTGGTTTACTATGACTTATTCTGAGAATTCCAAATTACTAATTAGTTTTGCTTTATCTCTTTTAAAATGAATAATTTGTGGAGCTGGAAAGATGGCTTAATAGTGGGAGTGCTTGCTCTGTGAGCATGAAGAGCTGAGTTCAGATCTCCAGGAAAAAATCCAGGCATGGCTGTATATGTCTGCAACCCCAGCATCGGAGGGCTGAGATAGGTGGACTGTGAAAACTAGGTTGGCAAGCAGCGTAGAGGCATGAGCTTCACGTTCAGGGAAAGATGCTGTGTCAAGGCGACCAGGTAAACAGTGATAGAAGACACCAAATATCCCATGTCCTGGCCTGGCCAATGTCTGAGTAAGCACAGGTAGGTGTGTGTGTGTGTGTGTGTGTGTGTGTGTGTGTGTGTGTGTGTGTGTGTGTAATGTATGTGTGTGTGCACGTGAGTGCATGTGCATGTGTATGATAGCAGTTATTTTTTTAGGTCAATTTATTGCGCGTTTCTGTAGTGAATCTCTGTCTTTCTTCTGGGCTCTATTGTGCTTGATGTCAAAAAGAAAAGCCTGAATAATTCCAGGTTGTGGGTTTTTACTGATGTTTTCTGCCATCGTTGTCAGTAATATTCCATGCACAGTTGAAAGACAGAAATATTTTCTGTAATGCAGACCATGAAGACACAGTTATTAACTTGCCTTTATGAATTGTTTAATTCTTCTTGTTTATCTTCTGTTTTATTTGTTATGATCTGAAAAGGGTATGTTAAAATCTGAAACTGGAATTATGTTTTCACTGATCTGCCTGCTTGTGTGAAGATTTGTTTTGGTTTTGTGTTTTAGTAGTAAACCTGGATTTGTATGTTTGATGCCTTCATCATAGATTTTAAATTTCATCAATATTAAGTGACTGTTCTCATTTCTTCTAATGCTTTTTGCTTATGACTTTGTTTTTAATAGACATTAATAGCACCTTCTCATCATTGTCTCAGTTCAGATTTGCTTGCTCTATCCTTAATTAAGCCTGAAAGTTCTTGTTTGCTTGTTTTTTGTTATACCTTGAAGTATGTGCTTGAAGATTTTACTCGAAGTGCAGAATTGAATCTTATAAAAGGAAGTTAAATGATTCAAATTTAATTTGTACCAGATAATCAATCATCTTTATCTCATGTTTGCCTTTCCATATTTTAAACTACCTTGACAACTTATTATCAGCTAATTTTTAAGAAGATTGTGAGCCAGGCATGGTAGTATATGCATAGAATCTGAACACTTAGAAAGCTAATGGAAGAGTCAGAAGTTCAAGACCAGCCTAAGCTAGATAAGTAATTTGAAACTAGGTTAGACTATATGATAACCTGCTCAAAAACACACAAAAATACAATAGTGATTTGTCTTCTTCTATGCTATGGTGAGTTGCAATGATAACATTCAATTCTATCAGCACGTATCTATAGGATGTTCAAAACCAGAATCTATCTGTCTACCCACCCCAAATGCACATGCCATGTAATGTAAGTAGTTA